GGCTACATCTAGCCCCCATCACCACACTGTAACCGCGAATTCTAGAAGCTCCCTGGCCGGTTCCGGGAGCTCTTTGGGAGGTGGCAGTCAAGTGGTACCGGTGGGAGCTGCAGCCAACGTGTCCGCCGGTCAGCAAAGCGACAATCAACTGAGAACGCAAGAGTGACCCAGGCCTAGGTCCGCCGCCTCGCCGACATTGTCGTCGACCCCTTCGTCCACCACTTCTCATCCCCCTTACCTAATGTACGACGAAGACGGGACCACGGCGGACCAGAAGATAGAGGATGACAGAAGCGTGATCGAGGCAGGAGGCATAAGTGGCGAACGTGTTATCGCGACAGCTGGAGGTATCGGAGTAGGCGTTGGCATCGGAATTGGTGGCTCTGGTGCGGGTCCTGGAGGAAGCACAGGATTAGCCAGCTATTGGCAACACGCTACCACCGCTACCGGATACTGGCCCTCGTTATTGGACTGTTGGACCACGCCGTCCATCGCTTCCACCTCGCAGACACTCTCCCTGCCACGAGACGAGAACTGAGAACAGCGCGCGCTATCGTGATGCCAGCGATGTCTTCGCAAGTAATTCTTACATTAGTATCTTGGATCTGGGGATGCTAAGTATCTTTTATTGTATTTTTAATTTCTATCGTTACACTTTTAGAGGTTATGAAACTTGTGTTTTGTTAAGCTTCAACTGGCGTGGCGTGGATCAGATTGGTGATCAGTAACGAACAGACAATTGATCGGTAAATAGCTCGCCTCACAACTGATCTTATACCGTAGTGGTACCAAATGCAGATAATAAGAAGCGCAACATTAGAAAAGAAATACAAAATGTGAGAAATACGCGTTATATCCGTCATTGACTTTATCTATGTCACGCTAGTTGAAAGTCAATTCTTTCTTTCTTTCCTTTTGTTCTGTTTTTCCTTTTTTATTTTCTTCTTTGTGGATAGGATTTTGCGAGGACTCCTGGCATTTACGACGATGTCGAATTGTTACTAAATTGCGGATATTTATGCAAATTCATATTTCTGTGGATATAATTAAAGCAATAGAACGTAGGCAGAGAATTGTTTACTTAAATATTATACTTTGAATAATTTATATATTCCTGCATTTTCTATACATTTTTTCACAATCAAATTTTCTATAAACGCATAAAAATCCGCAGTCTTACCATTACGTTCAGTCGTACGCTGTTCTTCATCGAAATTCGTAGATCGAGCGTTTAACGGTTATTTACACGATTTAACGACATTCTTCCCAGTGCAAGTAAACGGGAGAAAACTGTACATAGGATTGTAAATGCACGAACAATGGAACGATTATATTGGCATATAATATTTAATGTTTCGAGGTGCATGTTTCATCCGTAAAAAAATGAACGGAATCGCAGAGAGCGTAGGGCGAATTTTAAGTTTCCTAAAGATTGATTGAGCTTAATTAGAATTTTTATTTTCTTCGCATTTACAAAAATGCCACCTGTTCAACAAATACTCGAGCCAAAGTGCAATATTTTCGACTTGATAGTCGTTCTTCTCGAAAAAGGAAAAGAAAAATAGTCGCTGAAAGTGTGATCTATCGAGCAACGAGCTTTATATTTTCGTAAAGATTTATTTTTACTTGCGATTAGTTTCTTCTTCGCGCGTTTGTCACGGGATATCGTGCGTTTCGAAACAGAATTCACGAGCAACGTCGTTGCGGAACTTCGTTGTGTACAGTCTTTCAAGACTCCAAACGAGAAAACGAGTAAATTTAATCGCAAATTAGAAGGATAACGAGATGGAAAAGAAGTAACGGGATGAATAATAAAAGATCCGTCGCGGATCGAGATGTACTCATTATTCTGTAGATATATGTATAGTAGACGCTGATTTTACGCGGTTCGTAAATATCTTTCAGAATTGTTATATTGTAATGATGATAATAATAACATTATCCAGCAGAATACCAAAAAAAAAAAAAGAATAAAAGAAATGAAAAGAGAAACCATACACAGGCTGTAAGTAAATGAAATGGCCACCGTTGCGATTGCAAACGGTGCTTTGTACAGTGTACGAGGAAAGAAATCACTTTATCGACTATGCGTACGTTATAAATATTATTAATATTATTGAATAATTATAAAAAAAAAACTGTATTCGATACCCTTGCAGGGCACGTGTAACTGGACTTTTGAAGTCCATCGATTCATTCTCTTCGTATTTCGTTATTTCATTACGTTCTCCACCATATCTTCAATAATACCACTTTTCATCAACGCATGTACATTGTAAAATTGCTAAATTATACAATCGTTCGATGAAATGGAATCTGGAATACACAGTTAAAAAGAAGAACATAGACTAGGCTTTATAAATTAAAAAAAAAAATGGCATATCACCATCGATAAAACGTGAATGTAGAGAGGAAAACGATGTGAATCGATCAACTTCGAAAGTCGATGCAGGCATAACGCTATAGAACAAATAGTGACGTAAGCTAGATTTAAGAAACGACCGCTATTTTGTATGAATCCCAATGTCGTACAAATGTTCGTCGTGATCACATATCCCAGTTCCCGCGGTGAGTGATTGCAAATGCCCGCAGAAGACATGTTCTCATTCCCGTCGTCGCGTCGTTTCACTCACTACGTGTAAACGTTCCTACTGGGCGATATTGAGCGCCGAAAGGCCCCGTTTGTAATCTAGTCACAATAAAAACCAATTCTACTCTAAGCGAAGTCACTGCTTCACCGTCACCTGTCTCGTCCGTCGTTTTAGTTCAATTGTTCTACGCGAACTTTTATTTGATTTAACAACGAGCAAATATATTTCATACTTTCGCCAAGAAATCTTTTTCTTTTTTTTTTTCTTTTAAATAATATTACGATGAAGATGTACAACAGAATCTTTTTTTTCAAATTAGATACACCGTTATCCATAAATTACCAAACACTTTGTACAGTTAGAATAGGGATAAATGAACATTGTGATTACAAAATGAAGTTGATGCCAAAGTTAGTCGTTATTTAAATAAAATATTTTAAGAACGATTATTTAAATAATATATCACCTTATTTGGTATAAATAGATTTTTTCTGAACTATGCCATTATCTATGTAGCTGAAAGAACGTGAATAATATTTTCTTTTATTTTACTTTTTGTTTGAATCAATGCTTTTTAATGATGATTTCTCAAGTAATTTTCAATTCTGTTGCTACAACTGCATGGGAAATATGTACTTACTGACTTTCACACAGTACCTGACACATACGAGTTCGGACTTATTAATCAATTTTATAGAATCAAGTGTAACTCATGGACGAGAGCGTATCGTTAACGATAACATCGTAAAATGTCTTACAGACAATGTTTCAAAATACATAGTCAAATTACTTCAATTATTTCTGTACAGTTACATAGATAATTTTCGAAGAAGGATAGCCTTTAAACTACGGTTCTGTTTTTATTGGTTATCTCTAGCTAGGTTTACTTAACAAAAGATGCGTACAAAGTTCTATCGTCAGAACAGGTTATCATGATTTATACTTGTCAAAAGTACCTTTTCGTATAGAGTTGCGTATGCTGCGGCCGCGAAACCTATTTTCTAACTCCGCGATGACATTAACAAGTTGGATACAATAGTATTCCGTTCGAATGGAAAAGGCAAAATTCTTTATCCCAATTACTCCGCTTTACTTCTCAAACACTTTTTCGTTTATATTTTAATACGATCGAATATTGGGTGAATTAATATTTAACAACGACATTTCGTTAATCGTTTGTTAAAATAGATAATTCTCTGTTCTTTCTTCCTGTGTACCAAATTTTTCTTAGATGATTTTATTAAAAAAAAAAAAAATAACATGGAATATTAGATATATCATACATCGGCATAGTTCGGACTTCGATTAATTCATCGGGTCGAGAGACAGGTAATTCTCAGTTCGATTATATTATGAAAAAGTAGTAAAAGTAAGAAAAAATATTTATCAAATTCCACGCTTGCTCAAAAAGTGACATAAACAATGAACGTAATAATAATGGTACGAACTATGATGCAATATATTCAAAAAAGACAAAGAGCTTGTCAAAGAATCAAACAGTAAGGTAGTTGAACAAAGTTTAACGATTACAAATACCCGTTTTGTTATCACTCATTGTCTTCAACTAATTATTATAACAATTATTACAAAGAATAAAATCGTTTCAGTTGAATTTATCCGTAATTTTACATGTACTTAAAATACCGATAATAAACGAATATCTAGATATTTTTCAATAGCAGCATACGTTTGATTAACCAGGTAATATATCGTTACGTTCAAATATAACGTTTCTGCGTTTCTTTAAAGAACGCGATATCGTGAAATCGTATGATTTTCGAAGCAAAGGTACGACGTAATCGAGGCACTTTCGACGTTTCAGAGTAAAATTCCGAGCAATTTTTCTTCGCCAATCTGCAACGGTTTAATAATTACACGCTTCCTATTGAATTAAGACAGAAGCCAGGGCAATGAATTCCGATCGATGATTAGACTATTTATCGGTAGTTAGGCCTTTCATATTACACCCTCTCGGACATTGAAGGAGCATCGATAACCTACGGAATCTACATGCATACCGAGCGTGTAACGTGTTGCATTATGGTGGTCGGGGAAAAGCGATAAATTATGCACCCTCCTTGGTGGCGCGCGAAGGGTCGCTCCATGCCTGGCAACCCCTCGTCCCGCTAAACTAAACTAAACGTATATTACGATGATCGTTGTGCCGTTAATGGCACGACACAGTCATAAGATATTGCAGTCCGTATGTTCCTAATTATATACGACAGCGGTGCAGTTCTCGCTTTATGCATTTAACTGCGACAATCGAGACGATATGACGCGGGGAATAGCCATAGAAATTTGCGAGAATTTTGAAAGTATGGCATCGTGTTACAGGAAGAATTTTTATCTCAATGGACAAGAACTTTCGAACATCCTTGCGCGATAATTTATTAAGTAATAATTTTAGTGAATTTACAAATGACAAAACCATAGACTTTCGTTAGAGAAATAGTTTCTTGTAACTTTACGATTTTATGTTGAATAGGACAAGTTGTGTATAATTGTAAATCTTGTCGTTTCCATTGTCAAACTTGTAAAGTGTCATACATAAATCTTTGTTCCCATTACCAAACTTGTTGTACGAAGAGCATTTATTAACTCTGACAACTTGTATAACACGTGTGTATATCTGAAGTTTTGGTAATAATATTAGTTCAATTATGTAAGAGGGTCCTGCAATGCGTCGTTATAAAAAATAATTTATTTTCAAAATTAATTATTATCTTGCCTGTTTTATTTAAGTTGAAACCTGTGGAATTTTTATTCTATCGTGTGTATAATAGGAATAATCTGTAGGATTAAATTATTCGAAGTATTTTCTGCTCCTTTTGAAATGTATCTTTTGTCGATATTTATGTTTGAAGAATACTGTATTTATGATTTATTTTGTTATCGCTACTACTTTCGATAGAATTGTTAATAAATATGATTTATTAAAGTATCGATTATCAAGTGTGCAATTTATTACGACATGAATCTTTTCTAAATGTGCGGAATTTGTTTATTATTTTCGTAATCTATCCTCGCATAATATGCCAAAAGTGGTAGAGTAAAGTGGTTAAGTCCGTTTAACACCACGAAATGGTTACATCATCGGTCTACGTATAATATCTGAAATCCTTAACGTCTTTGTAAAATCCTACTGCCGGTTTAATCGATTTGACACAATTTTAGAAGCGTTAATTATTTATTTATGTAATTTTCAAGTACAGTTAAAAAAGAAACGGAGATAAAGAAAGTTGCAATGGTCTGTAATCGAAGTACTAATTGCACCGAGACTCTGTCTGTCTGACAGACACTTTTGAAACATCTATTAATTATAGGTCCAATGTACAAAGAGTATTTTATCTCTCTGCAACTTATCTTTGTTCGTAATCTTATCGTTTAACTGGCGCGCGACACACTTATACCAAAAATCTCTGCGCAAAATAAAGATTCTTGCAAAGTTTGATGCATTTCCTTCCTATTTCCCAGCATACATTACACTAGGTTCTTCTATTTTTTGCTTTCCAGAAAGAAAACAAGATAAAAAACGAGACAAGATTTCATCTGATTATATTAAAAACGTTTCAAAGTATAGTATATATTAAAACTTAAGATCGATGAAATAATGCATTTATATTTGACAATGTAAATAAAATTTGCAGGGCGTTGTGACGTACGATAATTGATCAAGAAATAATGTCTTTTGAATAAATAGAATAAACGACACGTACGCGTAAATATTATCGAAAATTGAGTGAAAAATATAGGTGAAAATGTTATATCATTGAAAACACGAGGAACGAAATCTTGCTATGTAACGCAGTGTTACTAATACTCCGTTTACGACCCTCAAATTACAAACAGATAAATCTCAAACTATCTAAAAATGTCAAATTCACTGTAAATCACGGAATACGTTGTCACTCTTTCAGAGGACTTCTTTCAAATTACTTTTCCGCGTTTTTCAACGTATTCTTAAACCTGTTTTATTTCACAACCGGAAAGGAGCGCCAGTTAACTGGAGTCCGTCTTGACAAAGGGAATTTTACGCGCGGAAAAAGATGGAATCCCCACCGATTCTACTTTTTCTTCGCGAGATTCGACTCTCCAACAAGTAAGACTTTCTTCCCCCTTCGGGATCATATCCAAGTACCGTAAAAAAGGGGAACTTTGACAAGTTTTCCCAATATATTACCTAACGCGCAACATAAAAATTAAAATATTTCCATTTCTGTTAAATATCTAATTACGAAATTTCAACTATAAATATGTATAAAATTGTCGTCCTTTTCTTTGATACTATTTGGTGTACGTTCTATTTATTAATAATTATACAACGATATAATATTATTCAATTATTATATACATTATATAGTTATTATACGTACACGCTATATAGCTATTAAATATCGTTGATAATCATTTCCTTCACCAACGATAAACTCACTCACTCCATTCCTTCCTTCAGTAGTTTCCCGCACCAACAATTGCTTCTTCTGAAATTAGTTTCCCTCCTCGTTTCTTTTCTCCTCATCGTCTTCAATCTCGATCCCAATCATCAAAACTCTTGACAATGGTATATCATATATATATAATACTCACATCTGCCAATATCAGCTGCTCCTTCAGTTTACTGTAATAAATAAATAATCGAGTTTTATTCGTTACATATCTTTTCGATACGGAATACGTACAAATAATCGAAATTGACATCTACGTTTTTGCGTAAACAGGCCGTATTCAACGAAACTTCATTGATAATTTCCACTACCTGTTCGCTTATTTCTGTTTCCCGACGTACTTGTGTGTCAAATTTACGTGGCAACCAACGCGTTAAATAACAGTTCCTTGACAGAATTCGTGGAAATAGCGCGAAGGGCAGCGATTTTTCGACGTCGCGTCGTTTCGTCGTCGAGGTGTCCCTCGGCTGTAAAAAAGCTGGGTTGGGAGCATCGTCATCGGCGTCGGATTAGGAGGAGTCGCAGTAACTCCCGAAACTTCGCCGTTGCTCTTTCTTTTCGACTACGTATCGAGAGCCACGGGTCGCAGGCACGCGGAGCAGACTCAGGCCCGTAGAGATTCGAGGATTTAGCGACGGAATAAAATCGGATACGGCCTCGTGAATACGTTGTTGCCGTCGCCTGTTCCCCCGAGGACTGCTGGAATTCTGACATTGGAAACGAATATCGCAGCTTGTTCACCGAGAACCAAGATATTCCGTCTTCCAACAGCTGCTCCCGTCCTTTATTCCACAGTTGCTCGGGATATTGACTGCCAGGCGAAAGTTGATCGTAATGTGATTGAGGGAATGCGAGGTGGAAATCGAAGATGGAACGAAATGGCGTATAAACGTTTCATCTTACTTTTCTGTTTTATTATGAAACTTACGTTATTACGTTTTGGTACAAGTTACCTTTAATTATTACGTTTCGAAATTTATATCCGTGACTGTCGATCGCAACTATTTTAATATATTTCTACGTAGATCTAACATTTATAAATTGATCCATTCTGGAGTAATTCAATTTATCGAGATAAGTATTAAAAGTTTCTTTCGTTTTATAAGGAAATATCGGATGCACCACATTTTCCGTTTTATGTTATTTTGTCGAATCGCGTATGATCCATTTTGTTCTATCAGAATAAAAATCACAACGGAAGACACTTTTCGTACAACCTATTATATCATCGTGAAAGTTGTACTTAATTTGTATAAGTTTCTTCAAGCTTACATTTATTACGGTCTACGTATACTACCGTATTTAATAATATTCATTCGTTGTTAATCGTTAATCCCTGAAAGGGTTGAAAACGCTCACCTATTAGGTACATTACAAGGTCTTTGATTCAAATGTACTACGTTTAATCAGTGAAAAAATCATTCTAATATAACAAAGAAGAGATTCCTACGGATCGAAATAACGAAAGCGGCGACAGATAATTTTCCATCGACGAAAAATGCTTCTTAATACGTTGGAAGACAATTCGCGTTACGAGGAAACGTTTCAGTCCGTTGCAAAATTCTTCCGACAATCTTACGGTAAGCAATGCGGTAACGTCAGAGTCGTAAAACGTCTCAGGCGATTCCGTAGCAACAGTTAAATTAAGGTGCGCGCAACGAGCTTGTCGATGAAAGCGGTGTCTGCAAATAGCGAGCGAAAATCATCGAGTAAAGTTTGTTCTCGAAATTCGAAGGTCTAGTTCCGTGCTGGTTCGAGCGTCATAAAATTCGCGAAGATTACTCGTTCGAAATA